TAAAGCGAAAGAAAATGTTGTCTTATCAGACATGATGTACCTATATTGTCAATTTCAGATATTCATAAGATGAATAGTTGCTTTAACAAATATTTGTTGTTTTGCCACTAAGATTTAGTCGAGTGAAAAATGACTTTAACTTGTAAATTTATAATCTCATGTTCGAATCGTTATGAAACATCGGCAATGCTTATGTTTGTGTGAGAAAACCTCATTTCCCTTTCTAACTTAACAATATATCATGTCAAATATCTGTTAAAGAAAAATTACTAATTGAAGAGTTGCGTAAGCCGTTAAGATGAGTAGAAAAATAAGTTAGGTTTAGAATAGGTTTAGAAAAATAAGAGTTGCAACAATCCACGTTGCTAATAGTAGAAGTCCATTAGGGAATGAAGTAGATTTCTTTTGAAGTATAAAGTAATGTCTGAAACATGCTTGCCCAGTGCCCAGCAGAAGCTCCTCAACGTGCTTTTGAAAGATGAGAATTGAAAGGTGAACAGGATCATAGTTTTGCTATCAAAGAAACTTTAATCAAAGAGAGAGTGGAGCACCAAGTTGGTGAGAAGAGAGGATATCTCTGCTTTTGTTTTTGCTTGGGCCTCCATGACAAAGCACCAAGATCCTTTAGGCTATCATTTTGACAAGTACCAAGCCTCGCTTTTAGCTTTACGCGCAAGTCTTGTCCAACTGTCCGGGGGTTCGTTATCGTTACACAAACATCACCATAATAATAATAATAATAATAATAATAATAATAATTTGGTACTTTCCATGTTTGGTCAACCATATCATCGCTTGGGTTGACTTGATTCTTCTCTATTTTTTTGGTTTCGTTTGGGGGAAGTAAGTTTAAAGTTTAAGCCACAAACTCTCAATTTGTCTACCAAAACTACGTGGACGAGTTAACCACCAAATGTCCCATGGAGACTGATATGTAGCTCAAGTAAATTGGTTTTACTTCTTAAGATAGTATCCAATTAAGTTTATTAATGTCAAAATTTGGTTCAACTACTTACGTATGAGGAGGAGTTTATGATCTCATTGAAAATTCACTAGGGTGGTGTAATGACCCAATAATGTATATCAAGTTAATACTTTTTATCACATTTAGTCTCATTCTACATTTGAAGACACAAACATATGCATGCAAAAGAGATGCAATCTATGGTCAGAATGTACTCATATCATGTTAGACAACCATTAAATCCCAAAATTTAATAAAATTTTCAAAAAAATGAGCCGATAATGTATATAATGCTAACATTAGCCACTATTCTTCAATAATCTTCGCGTGAGCATGTCACATAGTGTGCCTATGTGTCTTTATTTCATAGGCATCAACTAAATTTTTATTAATGATTTGAATCAAATACAAAGACCAAAGGAGGCCCATATTGAGGAATGCCATCATATGCTAACCACGTATTCTACATTAAATTAATCTGAATGGTCTATTAATACAAACCAACTCTCTGTCTGTCTCAAACACTTCCTAAGCACATTTGATCTGGTTTATAATCTGAGGTGGTGGTCTGGGCCGGCCACCGCCCAAAACCCTTTCTTGGTATCTTCCCAACCCTTTTTTTTTTAAATCTTAAGCTGTCACACGAGCTCCCCAAGCTTCATATGCAAGAATGAGTTGTAATGCATTGTTTGGGAACAGGTCAATGTCTTTTTTAGCTGGAGATAGAATAGTATTGCTCAAGTTTGCTTTACTGTATTTTAGTCTTAATAATCCAATTAGATGCATAGCCTAACAAACAAGGAAACCATCGGCATGTTTGGATGTAAAGCTCGGCTATCAAGGTATACCATACGAGACAACACAGCCTAGTTCTTTAGGACTTTGACTATCCAGGTTGGAGTAAAAAATCATATAAAGTTAGACTATTTTTCTTTACGAAAAAGGAAAAAGCCAAAGTGTCCCAACCCTCAATCGGAGAAATTATTATATAGTATTAAAATATCGATACATGAAATAATTCGTCAGCATATTATAATATGAATAGATGATACGATTAAAGATTGTCATAATATCTATAATATTTAACTGTATCCAGATTACAATATCACACTACTCTTTATTTGTCTTGATATTCCTGAACTTTTAATCTCAATCACATATTACAAGCACGGGGTGCAATGCAATCAAAAATACCTATTTTTGTGTAATTACCTTTTCATGAAAAGCTTTAAATAAGTATACCCAAATAATGTCTTCAAGAACGGATAATTTTTTTCTATGTATAGGATCCTCATTGATGTCATAGCTCATAGGTTATGGGGGAGGGAGATAGGTAGGCATATCGTCTTTGACAAACCACCAACCCACCCTCTGCTCTGTAAAATATAGTCTAAAAAGCTCTATACACCTGCAAGCAACACGTGATTGAAGAAGAGGTAGGTGATAAATAGACATAGAAATGGGAACAATTTATTTGACTTGTTTCCTTTTCGTTGTGTGTTGACAATTTCATCTTCAGCCTACTTCACCATATAGGCTTAGACTTGCATTGCAAGTTGCAAACCCTAGTTTGAATCTGGCTCTATAAAAAAAACAAAGGCCTAAGACCTAAACACTACCATATAATTTGTAGCATGCTCTTTTCCTATACCCTTTCCTGTTATTGCTGTCTAAATGACACCTCACTCACCACCCACTTTCTGCAAAAAGTCAAATGGGATAAAACTTCCCTACAAGTAATGATTTGATTTTGTATAATATATGGGTCCTGTCCCTATTTAAGTTTTAAGAAACTTAAGATTTGTCATGACTCTCATGAGGTTTCGTGTTCAAGGACTTCAAATTGTTTATGATATCAAAGATTGCAAGTTTCACCAAACATCGTATGAATTTAATTAGTGAGAGGTTTAAAGAACCAAGAAAATTATCTCGACCATATTGCTGATCACATGTCTCTGCAAATAAATGGTACTCTATTTATAGACTATAATCAGTAATATAATTAGTAAATACGATACATGATTTTCAATTCGATCTCTCTGCGGATTTGACCTAATGTATGTATGATGCTCGGGATTTTGGTGTGAATGCTCAACAATATCCACCTACCAGCAGCATAAAGAGAAGGACACAGAATGTGTCAAATGAAAACTGGCAGACATTAATATACTTACGGTCCCCGTGTCAAAAGAATTGTTATGAGTGAATTAGTTGGTCCCAAAAGCAGTTGAAGCAAGTAGGAAAGGCATTAGGGTTGTTGTGACCTTCACTTAACAGTAATGGGCTGGACAGCATGTGACAGGTGAGATGAATGTCGAGTAGTAGGCTATGAATAGGCTGTAGAAATTAGTACTGCTCCTCCAGCATTCAATTTACTGGGCTTGCTGTTGTGATGTATGTATTATTTAGGCCCATAAAGCCTAGCCCGGGACCAGAGGTAAACTCCTTTTGGAAAGTTTGGGTAACATCACCATCGTCTTCCAATTTTTACTTTTCCCTCCCATCTCCATCTACAGTACCATGTTTGATTTTATACAGTGTAAATTACACCAAAACATTACATTTTCTTTATGGGTTTTGGAAACTAAATCTCTAATTGAAAGTGAGTTTAGTGCACAAGGTTGACTTACATTTAAGCGACAATCAACTTGATCAATGATCCAGATTATATATCTCGAGATTTAAATGAGGGTGGGAAAAGTGATCAAAAATAAAGAAAAGTTTTAAGATATTCACACTTAATTCCTTATTATGTAAATTTTAAATTATTATTATTATTTGATACAAGTGATATTGGGAGAGGGGGATTTTCTCGCACAGACACATTATCAAGGTATCATGAGGGTTTGAACCTAAGACCACTGGTCTGCAAATCAATACCCTTTTTACTGGGTTAGACCCCGTTAATAATTTTAAATTATTTTTAATATTGTACTTTTAAGCTTTATGTATAAGTGACATGAAATAGTGGGGGTGATAATAGAGATGTTAGGTTCTAAAGCAAAGAATACGATTTCATGCAGAAACACATGTGCTTGTCTCATGAAGATGAGGTTTGTGCATGTCACATACTTACTATTTTCATAGATGCACCAATAAAATGCAACAAAATTTGGAATTCCCTTTCAAAAATAAATTATACAAAAATATATATATATATATATTTCAAATGATTGTTAAAAATAAAAATAAAAAATTGGTCACTCTATTTTTTTTTTTTCAATTTTAATTTGTTGCTTTCCGATTGGGGAGTGACGTTAACAAAAAGAGGGTGCTCCACATGCGTCCATGCTGGCGATTTTCTCAACATAATGGTCAAAAAAACAAAACAAGGTACCTTTCCATTACATTTTCTACGGCATCTATCCTTCATATTAATTGGATGTAAATCAAATCATAAAAAGATAGTTGGATTACATTTTAAAGCAAGTTATTTTTGGAATGTTTTGATTGTCAATTTTCTCCACTATTTAGGGATTGAAGCACAATTAGCAGTTTCAAACTTCCCTTCTTTTTTGCTGTTGAAGATTTTCAAACCTGAATCAAAGAACATGAAGAAAGTTAAACCTTACTATCCAAAAGAGAATTCAAATCTTAGAAGAAATTAAACCCGCACGTATTATATTCATAAGAAAAAGTTTTAATTTCGAATATCCTCTCCGCTTCGATGAAGAAAATATTGAAAAGTTCTAAATAAAAAGGAAAAAAGAGAGAGTGTAGTTATTTTCTTGTTACACGAAGATGAATCGTTTGCAGAGTGACAATCATATCGCACTAAAACAAATTGAAAACTAAAATTTGTTTTTTTGTTAATACATATATAGAAAATTTCCAAAAGTCCCTTGACACACAAAAATCCAACTATTTTCCCACCCCCAAATTTTTATTTCCAACCCTCAAATCTTAAGAATTAAAATCAAAAGTCTAAAGCCAAACGTTTCCTTTCCCACTTTGTCACCCATTTTCCTTTTTAATAGAAACACAAACAAGAAAATCCCATCCTTCTCTCTCTCTCTCTCTCTCTCTCTCTCTCTCTACATACACTGATACACACACACCAACAACAACAACAACAACAACATTGCTCAAGCCCCAACCCAAACAACCCCAAGCAGCATAGGGCTTTGGTCCCCGCTCTCTCTCTCTCTCTCTTTCTCTCTCTCTCTCTGCCCGTTATCGGATCTGATTCACAACCCGAAACCCACACACTTCCACACCCGTTTCTTGTCCGATCCCATCAAATTCCCACCCCACTTTCTCTGAAACCAACAAACAAATCGGCCAATTTTCCAAATCATCATCAAAACACCACCGTTTCGGCCGCGCCCGGGTCGGATCCGATCGGCGTCGGCGAAATTTCTCGGGCATTTTCATTACCAAATGGGAATGCCCAGTAAACGATGAGCAAAGCCCGAGGGGAAGAAGACGAAGACACCGAGTGCTTCTACGAGTCTCTCGATCGCATTGTCTCCTCCTCTTGCTCCTGCTCCACTTCCAACTCCGGCTCCGACACCGAGTCCGACCCGAACCCGAATTATGCAGTACCCAAATTCCCAATGGGCGCCTCCATCAAATACGACGTTTGGATCTCCGAGCCTTCCTCCGTCTCCGAACGCCGTTCTAAACTTCTCAGCGAAATGGGTCTCACCGGCGACCCGGTTCTTACCCGGGCCAAGCCCCATCTTGGTAACGCCGGCGACTTCGGGCGGTCGGTGTCGTCGGACTATTTGATCAGTCAACTGAGTTCTGGTGGTGGAGGCGTTAATGGCATCGTCCGTTCGAAATCCGATGGCGGCGACCAGTGTAATAACGCTTGTTCTACTTCATCTATGTCTTCTCCTCCAATTCTTTCGATTCGTTGTGCTTCGGGTGAGGCTGAGACCGACCCTGAACCCGAAACCGGTTCTTTTGTAAATAGAAATTCAAAAAATTGCGTTTTGAAGTCTTCAAGCGGTAAAAGCAACTCATCTCCACCGAATAAGCCGCCTTCCGGGAAAAATTCCAGAAGGGCAGACGAGATTCGAAGCGATTCCAAGGTTGATGAGGAGTTGGATTGTAATGGGATTGTTAAGGTTACTGATGGCAATGCCAATGCCCAAGTTTGTACTATTAGGAACCTTGACAATTTGTGAATGAGATTAGGGAAGATGGTATGTGGAACAAGCTGAAGGAAGTAGGGACTGGGAAGCAGTTGACCATGGAGGAGTTTGAGATGAGTGTTGGTCATTCACCAATTGTTCAAGAACTCATGAGGAGGCAGAATGTGGAGGAGGGTCATAAGGATGGTTTGGAGTCCAATGCCAACGGGGGCAATGGTGGAGTTTCAAAGTTGAAGAAGAGAGGGGGTTGGTTTAAGAGCATCAAGAGTGTTGCAAGTACCATGACTGGTCATAGGGATAGACGGAGTAGTGACGAGAGGGACACATCGTCGGAAAAAGGTGGTCGGAGGTCGAGCTCCGCCACGGACGACAGCCAGGATGTGTCCTTTCATGGGCCGGAGAGGGTGAGGGTGAGGCAGTACGGGAAATCATGTAAAGAGCTCACTGCAATGTACAAGAGTCAGGAGATTCAAGCGCATAATGGGTCTATTTGGAGTATTAAGTTTAGTTTGGATGGGAAGTATTTGGCTAGTGCTGGTGAGGATTGTGTGATCCATGTTTGGAAAGTAATGGAGAGTGAGAGGAAGGGTGACCTGTTGATGGAGAAATCAGAAGATAGCAATTTCAACTTGTTATTTTCCAATGGGTCACCGGAACCATCTTCAGTCTCGCCGAATGTGGACAACCATATTGAAAAGAAGAGGAGAGGGAGGTCGTCAATCAGTCGAAAATCGTTGAGTTTGGACCATTATGTGATTCCAGAGACTGTGTTTGCACTTTCAGAAAAACCCATTTCTTCATTCCAAGGGCATCTTGATGATGTGCTCGACCTCTCTTGGTCCAAGTCTCAGGTTAGTTACTGTTCTGATATTGTAGGAGTTTGTTTTAATTTCTCCTTCTGCGCCTTTACATTATTTGCTTGACCCCTTGATGTTTCTTGATGCCAAATGTTGGGTGGATTTTAAATGGATGTTTGTTTCTATTTCATATGATCCAAGGACACCATTAACTTTGTGTATCCAAAGCAATCTGACTGACCTTCCTTATTACTTTGTAGCCTAGGATTTTGTCTTTCTTTTCGTTATGAGTCACTAGATACACATGGAGAGGGATATATGAAATGAGTCATATGAAGGGTCCAAGAGGATAGGTTTTACTGAAGGTACAGATTTTGTTGCATAGTGGGACATTCAAATACTGTAGATAGTTTTCTCTTTTGTTTTCAATTGACATTTAACAGAGAGGAACTTTAAAATACGTAGGTTTTCGTTATGATTACACCTTCTAGGTTTTGTTATGTGCACCTTGAAATTGGTGAAGCTGCTCTGTTAAGTTTCTAGGAACACAAAGACAATAAATCATTGATACCTTTTATCATATTTGGATAAGTCAAGAGGAGGTCTGATAAAATGCCACAGTAGAAATTTAGGGAAGTATCATTGATCTGGCTCAGGAATTATCCGATGCTGGTGCATATGTTATCTGATTCTGGAACTATCCTTTCTCTAGTATATTTGCTGTTTATTTCCCTAATTCTAGGCACTTCCATAGTATAAATATTTGATTGCTCATGTCTCTCTTTATCTGTATTTGAACTTGGACAATTGCTTTCTTGAGATTTTCGAACAACATTATTTTAAATTTGAAGTGTATAAGGATGTATTCATGATTACTTTTCAATGGAATCATCAAAATCAGAGTAATAAAGGGTAGGAGGATCTAAGGTTGAAATAAACTGTGTCACAGATAAGTGGTGTGATGGTTGCTTATGTTTGTAGGATCCTCAATAAGTTCAAGTCTTGGATATGCCATTACTATTATTTTTTAGTCATGCGTGGAAATTAAAACAATGCACGTTTCTGTTCACTGCCTTTTGGTAAGGGTGTTTTAGTGGATCCAAAGGGCAGGCATAGGGAATTGGCTATAATCATTCAATGTAGCAATTGTTTAATAATAAAAGGATGACCGGAGGAAATGGCTTTATCAGTATTTAGATAGAGTAGCATAGTTTTTATGTGAGCCACTTTTTATTTATTTTCATCTCTAACTTTTGATTATTTTGAGAATACTCAAAATTTCAAAATATAACCCTAAACATCTGGTCAAGAAAATCCCTTAAAACCATATTGATTTATGTGTGCCCTTTTTCTTCACTTTACCAAATATAAAATTTCTTTTAGGATATGTTTTTGTAAATAAGTCTTTCCTTAATAATATGTGTAGAAAGATAGACGCAGATTCATTTAAATGGTGTGAAGAGTGTGATGGAAATAATGTGGATAGTTTTTTTTTTATTCTCGCCAATTTTTTCCTTTTGCAGAATGCCTAAGTAAGATTTTTTTACTTTCCTTTTCTCCAGCACCTGCTCTCATCTTCAATGGACAAAACTGTGCGCCTGTGGCATTTATCTACCAAGACTTGTTTGAAGATATTTTCACATAGTGACTATGGTAAGTATATTTGGCCTGCGTTCAGCTATTACTCTACCATTTTGTTTGGCTCCTACCTGAACAACTGTTGCATAAAAAAGCGCTAATGTGCACACGGCTTCCTTCAAGGGTTATAAAACCACTGAAAATTCAAGTACTTACATTTGATGTCAAGGAAAAGGAGTTTCATGTCTAATATTGAGTATGACTATTTCATTTTGGGCTCATGTGGTAAGGGGTGGGAAGGGTATTTGTTAATCTTGCCAAGAAATTTTGTTTTGAATTCTTCCTTAAGTGTGTTTATCCGATTTCTTATAGTTTGGTGGTTTAACATCTTTTCTGAAAGAGAATAGTATAAATCTGCAAGAGATATGCATATCTCTCTCCATCTCTTATCATTTGTTTCTAATAACTCTATTTTACATGTGCCTTGATGCAGTAACTTGCATCCAGTTTAACCCTGTTGATGATAGATACTTCATTAGTGGATCACTTGATGCTAAGGTTCGCATATGGAGCATCCCTGATCGCCAAGTGGTTGATTGGAATGATCTGCATGAGATGGTCACAGCTGCTTGCTACACTCCTGATGGTCAGGTTAGGCCGTATCTTTTGTGCTGTCTTTATGTAATTTTTAATTATCGTTCATATCTCAAGACATTTGTGTTGATATTTGAAGGGTGCCCTAGTTGGTTCATACAAAGGGAGCTGTCGTTTATACAACACATCCGGTACAAGTTGCTCTCTCTCTCTCTCTCTCTCTCTCTCTCTCTCTCTCTCTGTGTTTGTAGCACGCTCGACTAATAAATGTTTCCAACTTTTTCAGAGAATAAGTTGCAACAGAAGAGCCAAATTAATTTGCAGAACAAGAAAAAGAAATCTCATCAGAAGAAAATCACGGGTTTTCAGGTAATAATTGGCTTGATCCCTTTTACTCTGTTCAGATGATACTTTTAGCCATGACAATAAAGGGTGCTGATCCTTATTCCCTTCTTACCATTACAACTTGGCTTTTTTCCATCTTGTGTGTTTATTCTTTGATTATTTGAGTGGCACGTTTTATGGATTCTTTTCGGTTGCTAATTAGTCTCATTTGATAGTTTGCACCCGGAAGTTCATCAGAAGTACTCATCACATCTGCGGATTCACGAATCAGGGTTGTTGATAGTATTGATCTGGTTCACAAGTTCAAGGGTAAGCACATGTTGTTCTATGATTTTTGTCATTTGTTATTTTAGCTATTTCAAATTGTATGATATATGAATTTTTGCCCCTCTAATCTGATTTAGTTTCTTAAGCCAATGGTGTTACCAAAACTTTATGCTTTGTGTTTCTTTACTTCCATGACTTTTCTCGGGAATGGAAGCGCTATAAATGGTGTCAAATTGCTGGTATTATATTTTTCTTCAACTTTGGTTTGGTACCCAGTTGAGTGCATGTTCAGTAACAAGATAATATAATGGAGCAGAGAGATGTGTTTTCTAGGCAATAGGTGCACGATAATGCTTTGCCTGCTAGATCCATGAACATGTTATCTCAAATATCAGCGCTTGCATCTTGGAGGTTTGCGTTTTTCATAGGGTGACTTGGTCTTTTTTTTTTTAATACAGGATTTCGTAACGCAAATAGTCAAATCTCAGCCACCCTCACAGCAAATGGTAAATATGTGGTATCTGCTAGTGAGGATTCTCATGTATATATATGGAAACATGAAGCTGATTCCCGACCTAGCAGAAGCAAAAGCGTTACCGTCACACGCTCCTATGAGCATTTCCATTGCCAAGATGTATCAGTGGCCATCCCTTGGCCTGGAGTGGGCGATTCATGGGGATTACAAGATGCAGAACAAAATGGGCTTGACAACAATCTTGATGAGGTCTCCACAGCCAACCATCCCCCTACGCCTGTCGAGGTGGCTAATGGCAACGAGGGTTCACGTTCGGCATCTGGTTGCACCAATAGCCCTCTTCATGGAACCATTTCGAGTGCATCCAACACTTACTTCTTTGATAGAATTTCGGCAACATGGCCCGAGGAGAAACTACTTCTAGCTACTAGGAACCGAAGCCCGCGTGTTAGTTTTGATTTTACGAATGGTTTTAGCCCAAACATGACAGCCTGGGGTATGGTGATTGTAACTGCTGGCCTTCGAGGTGAAATTAGAACTTTCCAAAATTTTGGATTGCCGATTCGGATTTAAGGAGCCAAATAATTGGGACCCTTGATCCTGGGGAAGTTGAGTTGATAATGCTACAAAGGAGCCAGTCCATTTTCCCTATTGGCAAATGTGTATAGAGAGAGAGAGAGAGAGAGAGAGATTTGGTGAGATTTGTAATATTAGAGCGTTCCATTTGTTACCCTTGTGCTTGTTGTGCCTATCGGATGTGGAGTTCAGTTGGAGAGCCAGTCCGATCGGACAACAAGAAAGAAAATAGATTTGTTGAAAAAAAAAATTGAAAAAAGAAAAAGAAAAACTACACCGTGAATTTAGAAACCGATGAATTTCTGTAATCGGGAATTGTAGAGTTATGAGATGGGAAAAGCTTATTTAATTTAAAAATGAAAATTCTTTTTACTGTTTATGTGCACTAGTCTTTGATTTTCTTTTCTGCCCTCTCTACCTCGTAATTTTATATTATAATGACACTTGGCTTTGGAGGAATAAAATTTCAATTAAGCTATTTACACTAAAAAATAAGAATGTTCAACATCCTAAATTTCTGAAGGCTAGCACTAAATAATTCAAATTTCTTGAGCTTGTATGGATTTCTTTTTTCTCTTTTGTTAAATAAAGGGCAATAGAAATTTATTCGATCAACGGGAAAATAGTATACAAAGGACAAAGGCTGTAAAGGATTAGGCAAAGCATTTCTAGACATAAGGACAAGGTCTTACCTGATAAAGGATTGAGCTTGCATGGAATTCTTACCTTATAATGAAGCAGCGGCCAAGTTTGGAAGACCAAGCTCAGCTTTGTCTGCAAATTTGATGCCCCCATCAATCCAATCCAAACATGAAGATTTCACAGTGGACACCTTCCCACCATCAAAGCTGGAGCTGAAATAATCATATGTGGATGCTGCTATGTAACATATATATGTTTGCAGATGATGCATGCTTTACGGAGTTAATAACGCAAGGGAGGAGAGCATTTTTGTGCTTCAGTGCCTCCTATTAGGGAGGAGGTTAATGAAAGCTTTACGTTCTAATTTCAGTATATTTTGAATGGAGGAGATCCCAAAACTGTAATTTGAAACCGATAAAAGCTTTGAGTAGTGCACCTTTCTATTTTGACTTTATTTTATTTTGAATGTTTTGAGATAATAGTTTCTTAGACGGAACTGAATGGACGTTACCCAATTTACAAGTAACAACAAATAGAAAACCTGATAAAGCACAAATCTTTGACAATCATAGAGGAGAAGCAACAATTTGTGGATCACCAATTTTGTGTCCCATAAAAATGGATTGTAATGGAAAAAAAGAGGAAAACAATGGAACAAGTTCTCTGTCTCTGCTCCTTGGGCCATTGTTTTCTTGGGTAAGAGATGGGCTTGAAAAAGCCCATGCCTTCAGGCCTAAACCAGATAAGGCTTCCACCAAGTTTCAAACCAAATTTCTTTTTCACTCCCTATCACCAAAAGGGGGCCAATTCCAACTTGTCATGATATCCAATAAATCCAGAAAATTGAGGCAGACTCCAGAGCAAACCTGCCAGCACTGCCTCTAAACCCACAACTCTCTGTCCTTTTTTACGACACTTTCTCTTTGCAGGCACAGCCCATAACACATAGGATAGGAGTGGTGGAACACCCTGGTGAAAAAAGACCAAAAACATATCCCTTCCTATAATCCCATGTTTCAAAAACAAGGAAAATATATTAATTAAGAGAAATATCAAAGGAAATCCAAATCTCACAACCTCATTGGTTGCTTGAAATTGATGTGGCAGACTCACATGCTGCAAATTATCTTATCCTCTCTGCCACTCATATCCCAAATATACTATTTTAGTGTCTTGCCAAGTGCCAAAACCACTTTGTATAAATACAAACTGGTGTTTCCTTTTCAAGTACTTGAGCTCAGCTTCACTCTGCTCACCCCACCACACTATCTTCTTCACTATCTTCTCCACTTGTGAGAAAGTTCAGAAAAAAGAAAACCCAATTCAAAGTAGTCAAGAAGCATTACTTTGCCAGTGTCAATGGCTCTTCAGGCTGCTTCTGTGGTTTCCTCGGCTTTCTCGGTTCCCAAAGAGGTTTTTGCTTTTATCAGTTACTTTGTTCTGAGAAAAGTTTCTTCTTTGTTGTTAACGCCTAAGAAGCTAATGGGGTTGGTTTTCTTGGATTTTTTTTTTCTCAGGGAAAGTCCAGTGCATCTTTCAAGGATTCAAGCCTGTTTGGAGTCTCATTCTCAGACAATCTAAAGGCTGAATTCAGCTCTGTTGCATTAAGCTTCAAGGTAGGAAAATATTGCATTATTTTTTCTCTTAATTTCCCTTGTTTATAATTTGTTCTCCAGAATAGAAAATGTGTTTCTTCTGGCAAAAAAAACAAAACATCCTGAAGTTCATTAAACTTCTCATCTGTCATTTGCTATAAATGATGAGTTGAGGCAATTGGTTGTTAATTTCCAAAAAGAAAAACAGCATGTCTAGCTATTTCCAAAAACAAAAGAAGTATGTCTAATTACTTGCTGAACATGGGCTTCTGTTAATTTATATTTGAATGATTCACTGAATTTTGTGTGGATAAAAAAAAATGGTTTTAATTACAGAGAGAATTCAAGCCTGTCAGAGCCCAGACAGCGGCCACAGCATCCCCAGCAATCAACAAGGGTGCATCAGAGGGGAAGAAAACTCTCAGAAAGGGCAGTGTGGTGGTCACTGGTGCCTCCTCTGGACTGGGTCTTGCCACAGCCAAGGCTTTGGCTGAATCAGGGAAATGGCATGTTATAATGGCCTGCAGGGATTTCCTCAAGGCTGAAAGAGCTGCCAAGTCCGCTGGCATGCCCAAAGAAAACTACACAATTATGCATCTAGACCTTGCTTCCCTCGACAGTGTGCGCCAATTTGTCGATAACTTCAGGCGATCAGAGAGGCCACTTGATGTGCTTGTGTGCAATGCTGCTGTTTATCAGCCAACTGCTAAGGAACCTTCATTCACTGCTGAAGGCTTTGAACTCAGTGTTGGGACTAACCATCTCGGGCACTTCCTTCTTTCGAGGTTGCTGCTCGAAGATTTGAACAAATCTGACTACCCATCAAGGAGGCTCATTATTGTTGGCTCAATTACAGGTACTTTATTCAAATGAAGAAAAATAGTTCTTGTACAATATGTGCTCTGCTTTCTAGAATATGTGCTGAAGTTTGTAGTGTTGCTTGTTTCTGTGAAATGGTACAGGGAACACAAACACCTTGGCCGGTAATGTACCTCCAAAGGCCAACCTTGGGGACTTGAGGGGACTTGCAGGGGGCTTAAACGGTCTAAACAGCTCGTCCATGATCGATGGTGGAGACTTTGATGGTGCCAAGGCCTACAAGGACAGCAAAGTCTGCAACATGCTCACAATGCAGGAGTTCCACAGGCGCTACCACGAGGACACCGGAATAACCTTTAATTCCCTTTACCCGGGTTGCATTGCCACAACCGGTCTGTTTAGAGAGCACATTCCCTTGTTCAGACTTCTGTTCCCTCCATTCCAAAAGTACATCACCAAGGGCTATGTCTCAGAAGAAGAAGCCGGAAACAGACTTGCTCAGGTAAGAACTGGAGGAGCATAAAGAGAGCTTCTATAGTAAAATGGCATGGTGCATATGTTTTTATTTATTTCTCTTGTGCATGAATTCACTTGGTTGCTTCTGATTACCTAGGTTGTGAGCGACCCAAGCTTGACAAAGTCTGGAGTATACTGGAGCTGGAACAAGGATTCGGCTTCCTTCGAGAACCAACTCTCCAAAGAAGCTAGTGATGCAGAGAAGGCTCGCAAGGTGTGGGAAGTCAGTGAGAAGCTTGTGGGTTTGGCCTAGTTCAGAAGCTTAATGTTTTTGTCAACAAATGTTTGCCTTGGAGGAGGAGGATGTCACCAGAAGAGGCCCCTACAGTGCAGAATTTGAAATCAACTGCTGTAATGTCATAAGCAATTTTCTCGTGTGGATGACTAGTGTTAGTTACAAATGTCAATAAAATCACTCTCACCTCTGTTGCAAAGTGCAGATCACCCCATTTCGTACAATTTTTTATTTTTTTTATTTTTTGCTTTTATATATTTATCTTATTTACTTCAAATATTTACAACACAAAAGGTATCAGAATGTCGTAAACAAGTAAATGCGATGCATTTACTTCTAACTTAATACATGCAAGGAGTTTAAAGTATATAAGCAGGAAACCGCGCTTCAGATGGTTCAGTCATGTCCAAAAGGAGATGAGCCATTCCTCCAACACCTTCAAATAGGGAATAGGGCCGATCTCCTCCATGCATCGTCCCCTCTGATATGAGATTTAGCGCTCTATCATGTAGAAAGCAAGCAAATGCTTTGGCTCTGTACAAGTATTCCACTTTACCCGTTAATCGGTAGAGTGAAAGAAACACGTAAGTGTTCCCACTGATGCCATGACAAATGCCAACTCGCTTTAGCAGACCCCGGTTCCACACCACCTCCCCTGCATCTATGGCAGCTTGCAGAAACTCCTTGTCTCCAAAAACCTAATGGAATAAAATGCATAGACCAAAGAGTAAACTACACTGCAAGTGCGTTGATAGATTATTATTAAAGTTGAAAAAACCATCCAAGGCATACAACCATAAAACAAAAAAGTATCACGTTTGGACTGCAGACCACATCCATAAACAAAACGTATATATCAAATTATCTAGGTATACTACAAGAAAAGACCATATTTTACTGAAGTTACTAATAATAGTAATGGCAAGAAACCCACCACTTTTATCTCATTTTGTATTATTTCAGTTTTCAATAACGATGCGAAAATAAAAATAAAAATCTGTCTGAGTAAGTTTCTCAATTGATTTTACTATGCAGTACTCCCAACCACACTGCTTTGAAAACACAATAGGATGGGGAAGCCTTTCCAGTCTCACAGAATCAAAGCAATATTTAGTTCTTCGCCTCTATTTACCACACAAAACTACAATATCCAAACTTTAGTCCAACAAGTTTTCATAAAATATCAGCCGGATTATAATTACCTCAGCTGCTCTCACAAGTGTAAGAGCAACTCCAGGAGCACCATGGCACCAGTGCACAAGACGGTCTGATTCAGTTCCTTCACTTGAAGGAAAGTTGCCGCTGGGAAAACGATTCTTAATCATGTAATGGAGAGTACCCTTAACATCCTCCACCTCATCAGGTTTGAGTTGCATGCTCATCAAAACATGCATAATCCCTGCCAGTCCATGGGCAGCACCCCAGTATTTCTTCCCATGCCATTCGTACATCAATGAGCTTCGTCCCTTCTTAGCCAATTGTCTACCAGCCTTTATAATTTCATCCACAACTGATCTCTACACAAATTACTAGGCGAATAAATGGACAAACAATTCAGTGTATTCAGAACCAATCAGAAGAAAGATTTAAGGATAAATTGTCTTACCATGCGTGTAGTAGAAATTGTCCCGTTTCCTATGTGCTTGTTTAAGAATGAACAGGCCCATAAGAACCCAGCTCTACCATATAATAACTCATTTGGAAGATCACTTGGCAGCTTGATCTGCTCTTAAGAGCAAAATAGAATGTCAATAGAGGCAAACATACCAAGGCCAATTTTTAAGAGGAACAGTGTCTTAAGTGCAAGAAATAAGTGATACTGTGAACCACCTCTTTAAATTGTGATAAGTAGCGGTCAAGTAACATTTGATCACCAGCATGCTTTGCCACGACAGCACCAAGGGCACAAACGCCAGCCCGCCCACATGTGAATGACACACGCCTGCAAGCCCATGCAGAACATAACAAAGCTACTCAAGTTAAATTACTCATTCCCCAAAAGCAAGGATGCCAGAACTGCAACGACATCCAATAATTCTAGAAGCATGCGACTACTCCCTACTCCTCATGGTCAGTAAGCTATGTTAAACTGCAATTAGAAGTATTACTTTCGATATTATTCATAAACTTCAAAACAGATACCAGTCCACCACCAATACTAACAGAATAACAAAAAAAAAAACCTCCGGCTCATCACTTAAGCTATATGATCTGGTACTGATTTTACGAGGGCAAGGTGACACACAAGTG